TAAATTTACTAAAAATAATAATATTTTAATTATCAAAATACCTTTCACCTTTCTATTTAGAGATAATGCTATTTTGAAAAAATCTAAAAGTGCGGTAGTAAGATATTATATTATTAAGAAAAAGTACCGCTGTTGTACCACGGTTGATGACAAAAGATGGTAGTGGCATCAGTGAAATTAATATCAAAACCAATGTCCTGATTTTCGGAACACATTTTAACTGCTACACTCCCTTTCCTCTTAATATGGCTTTCTCTGTTTCTCTCTCCTCAGAGACAAAGTCCTCCCCGCAGCCTTCTTTCTTTCTATCTCTACACTGTTTCTCTCTTCTCTAATCTTCACTGTACTTCCATTATTGATTTTTCAATTTTTTTTTGGGAAGAAATAGGGAAAACTCTTGAGGAAGAAACCCACTTTTTCCATGGTGGATGTGGGGAAGCGCTTTCCGATCGCCAGCGGAGCCTTCTTCTCCGACGTCTTTTCCGTCATGAAAACCAGACGAACAGTTGCTTTTGCATATGGGTTCACGTTTGCATTCGTTCTTTTTACTGTTTTTCTAGCATTTAGTCCTTCTCCGGATCCTTCTGCTCCTTGGTTCACCAACATCTTCACCTCCGGCACTTCCACTTCCGGTGAATCCACCGGTTCTTATAAATCTCAATTGTCTTCCTTTTTCTCTTACTTTTTCTCGAACAGTTCTTCTCAACAACAACAAGAAGATCGTAACTTTACTTCCTCTCTTCCTACACAGACAAACACCTCTCGATCTACAAACTCCGGTACTCGATCTCCGGTGACCGGTAAAGGGTTACCCTTTGTGAAAAACAGTTCCAGTACGCTACCCAGTTCAAAAAACACAACGTCTCAAACCCCCAGCACAATTACAGAGCGTTCCGTTTCAAAAAATCAAACCCAAACTACAGTTTTGCGTGCAAATCAAACAGCAAATGTTGGTGGTGTGAATAAAAAGCCCCCAAATGCAAGAAATCAGACTTTGAGTGGAAGTGATTCTGGCAAAGTTCAAACCTTGAAGTCCAATCAGGCTTCGATTTCAGCTCCGAAGCCTCCGGTTAACCAAAGCACAAGTTTTCCGGTGCCGTCGGGTTCTCCGGGGAAGGGAGAGAAGAGTGTGGTGGAGAAGAGGGCAGGAGGGAATAACACCTTTACTGCTTCTCTGACCCAGAAGCAGGAGAATGAGACGAAACAGAGCAAAGGCAGTGATTCCTCGCCGGCGTCAGCGAAACAGGGGGTTGAGAATCTGATGCAGTCGTTGATGAATTGCGATTTGTTTGATGGGAATTGGGTCAGGGATGATTCGTATCCGCTGTACAAAGCTGGGTCTTGTTCCTTGATCGATGAACAGTTCAATTGCATTCTCAATGGAAGGCCTGATAAAGATTATCAGAAGATGAAGTGGAAACCCAGAGGATGCACTTTACCAAGGTATATTCAAAATTTGCAGTTTATGGTTTGTTTAATGGAAAATCTAGCTTATTTTTATCAGTTGTATTATTATATTTCTAGTTTAGAGAGGTAATGCAAACTAAAAATGCCAATTTTGTTCGATAATAAGAAAAATGTAGAAGAATTCTTAAATGTTGGTTTCTAATTTAGGGATACAGGAAATTTTGATCTCCTGGTACAATTTTTTTGGGTTGTTCTATGCATCTATGTAAGATATTAGGAAATTATTGAGCAATTGAATTTGTCTTTTTTTTTTTTATTCTCTTATTGCTAAGGTTGGTTTGGATGGATTGCTTTGGTTAGGTTGAATGGAGCTCACATGTTGGACCTGCTGAGGGGGAAGCGGCTTGTTTTTGTTGGTGATTCCCTGAATAGAAATATGTGGGAATCTCTGGTTTGCATCTTAAGAAGTGCTGCTAGAAATCCAATGAATGTTTATGAGGCAAATGGAAGGTCATATTTTCGAGGGGAAGCTTCGTATTCCTTCATATTCAAGGTCGGCTATTTATACTTAAACTTGCCGTCACTGATTACTAATGCCCGTTTGCCTAAAATTACTTTGTTTTTGTTCAAATGGACGATGGACAGGATTATAACTGTACTGTAGATTTCTTCGTGTCTCCTTTCTTGGTTCGAGAATGGGAAGTGGCAGACAATAATGGAACAAAGAAGGAGACTCTTCGGCTTGATCTAGTAGGGAAGTCTGCTGATCAATATAAAGATGCAGATATCATCATCTTCAACACAGGACATTGGTGGACACACGAGAAAACTTCGAAAGGGTAGGGAAAATATTAGCTGATACATCTCAAAAGTGGTAGCAGTTACTGCTACGACTCGATTCTGATTTTTTTTTTTTTTTTCAAATTGATTTTAACTTACGCAAGAATCAATTTTCAGGAAAGATTATTATCAAGAAGGCAGTCATGTTTATAATGAACTGAATGTTCTCGAGGCTTTCCGGAAAGCAATGACAACGTGGGCTAGGTGGGTTGATGCTAATTTAAATCCAATGAAGTCTATGGTTTTCTTCAGGGGTTATTCCGATTCTCATTTCAGGTAAACTCAAATAAATTTTTGGCATTGTCTTGATGAAGCATTGTCCTTATTTTGAATTGCCCCTTAATTTCGTTAGCTTATACATCTGTTAAGTGATTTGCTTCTCTCTTATATAATCATTATGTAATGTAGTACCTCTGAGGCTATGGAATAACCACTCTGACATTACTGATGTTGCATGCATCTCCTTGCAGTGGTGGCCAGTGGAATTCAGGAGGAGCATGTGATAATGAGACCGAACCCATCAAGAACGAGAAATATCTAACACCATATCCATCAAAAATGCTGGTGCTGGAGAAGGTGCTGAGAGGTATGAAAACCCATGTCACCTACCTAAATATCACCAGATTGACTGATTTCCGAAAGGATGGTCACCCTTCAATCTACCGAAAGCAAAAGCTTACCGAGGAGGAGAGGAGATCACCGCTACTGTATCAAGATTGCAGCCACTGGTGCCTCCCAGGTGTGCCAGATGCCTGGAACGAGCTTCTTTATGCTGAATTGCTTGTAAAGGAGAGCAAAATGCGGCAACATCAAAGAAGAGTACAAGAGCTTCTAGTACATGAGATGCGGCAAAATCAATGGAGAATATAGGTAAAAGAAAAATAATTCAATACAGTTCTTTTGCTTCATTTTTAAATTGTAGAAACAGATTAAAAAAGAATGAAGATCTAGGAGAGTGTTAATTTTTTTCCTTGTGATAGTCAATAATAGAAAAATGAGCAAGTGTTCTTGGGGAGATCCATCTCTTCTTTTATAATTCCATTTGTTTTTTATCTTCATGGAAGAAGAGAGGGTTAGTTAAGAGTAGAGAATATTTGGTTGGTAAGATTTCCAAGATAGCATTCTGAAATCTATCCCATTCCATGCCCCCCAACCATGTTACGGTTGTACATCTTTAATTATTTAGTTTTAGTTGAAATAAATACATTACCTATTTATTAAATTTCTCATATTTTTTTATTACATTTGATAGTGAGCTATACCTCTTCGAAACTTATATATATATATATATTTGTCCCTGGTTCAAATCTATATATGCCTCTAAATTTCATGTGTCAGGTTCCAACCATTGAGCCATTGCTTAAGAGATTGTCGTTTTTTCTTTTTAAAAGATGTGATGTACAGAATCGAATTGATGAATGGCATTATTCAAAGTAGGGTTTCTTTGAACTTTCTTTGGTGTCATTTTCCTGTGGAACAAAGTTACTGATTGTGAATATATTTTATAGCTCTCCGATGGACCGACCATCGTTTTAGGCTTTCTATGATTGGTGTTTGGAATAGAATATATGGTTTTGAGGTCTCACTTTTGTTCCTTTGTGTCACATTTTCACATGGGTGTTTGACTATTTGTCCATTATTTACATTAGAATGCTTTCTTTTGTACCTTAAAGTTACTCATGGTGATTTGTTTATTGGGGTTTTTATGCCTTTGGCTCCACTCTGATATGAGAGCTATCTTATAAAACAAACTACATCACATGAAAATGATTGTTAAATGTAATGAAATCAAGTGAAATGGGTCGTCTCTTTTGGACGCTACTAGTATAGATTCCTTAATTTTTTTTCCTTTATGGAACAGTCCAGCCGGTTGAAATTCACACAAGGGAGAGGGTAGGGAACAAAGGTTTGAATCATTGGCTATATGAGTAAAGAAGCGTCTATTGCTAATAGTATGGTCAATTACTCTACTAGTCTTGTTGGCATTTTCAAAGCGGTTATTAACTGTTACCCTCATCCCATTCTTAACTCCGTCTACATGTTATATATGTCATACGTAATGCATGTTATATGACTTGAATCTTGTATCTTGTAACCTTAGTTATTATAGATTACATATGCTGAATTAAATAATTTTGTACAATAGTAGTTGTGTTACAAAACTTTGGCATCAAGGTAGATTCGATTTAGGCCTTTATTAAAATTGGGCTTGATTCAAATCATTCACAATAGTGCAATAGTAACAATCCTAGGAGCTCTCTTGGGCTGGACTTAGAACTACAAAACAAATAGGTAAGGCTCCACTTAAGGGTATCTCGATGGTTCCTCGCTACTCCATTCCATTGAGACGTTTTGAGTTGTTAAAAGACCAATATTCTTGTCCCAAATGCACCCTTAGACTTGCAAAGAAAAGTCTGCAATGACAAATGACATCAGGGATCCATTGGAATGCATATGTGGATTAGTCCACCTTCCTATCAGCAGAATTCAAGGCAACACAAAAAAGGGGTTACGAGTGGAAACAAGCCAATTTCTAAACTTTGAAGAGGTGAAGTTAGGTTTTGTTTGTTAGGACTTAGCATAGACTTTTTTTACACAATAATTTATCTAAAATTCAAATTTATAATTCTTTATTAATTTTAATTACTATTTTCTATATTTTCTAGATAATAAAATATGAAAAAACCTACATCTATTGTATAACACAATATTGACAAACAAAGGTTTAAATTCACTATTTATAAGTACTTTTTTTCCATTAAAAATGAGTCATAGGCCATCTTTTCTTAGTATAAAATCTTATAATCTTTAGGTGATAATAATTATTATTGACTTTTTTCATTCTGAGACGCCCAATTATATATTCTATCATTTTACATCATGGAAAATGACTATTATAAAATGTCATTTTAAGAAAACATAGTGTCAACTCCATTTTTTCATTTCTCATGGACAACGTTAAAGAGGAGATATTGTTGGAGTTGTTAATGTATAGACCAGAACAAGGCAACAACCACTCATCTCATAACATGGATCCATCACAATGAATACACGTCCGTTGAATGAGGTAGCTTAGGTTACTTATATTCAAATTGTTTGAAGCATATTATAGAAAAAACTTGAGAAGTATTCCCATTCAAAGAGCATAGCTAGACCAAGTCACGCCCATCATGACTCTGAAAAACTCGTTGAATTCCACCAGAATGTTTGTCCAAATCATGATGCTTCACCATCTAGTGGGTCTCATAAACGTGCCTTCAAATTCAAATCATAACGTATTCTCTGAATTAATATCTATTTATGCGTTTAATATTTGTCAACAGAATAGTCAGTTTAACAAACGATAAATAAAATTTAATTATATATTCATTAATTTAATTAATCAACTTTCTACTGGTAACAAAAATTTCTCCCACTTTTCCTAGCTGGATCAGTAAACACAACTGAAACTTCTTGGAATATCCTTTCCTATCTTCCCACCAAACAAGAAAAACACCAAGAGACATTCTTCCTTTAGAAAAAAAATAATAATAAAGAAAATCCCATATCCCATTCTCCAAGCCAAGACTATTTACACAAAATCCAAAAAGGCATGCACATCTTTTGACTGGTCACATCCCATGGCTCATGAAGCAGCCTGGTGGGCCTGAGCCTGTGTCTGCGACCCTTGTGCTGGTTTTAGTGCAGAGAATGGGTGCAACTTAGGCCTATTCAGAGGCAAGGCTACACCATTCGCGGTGCCATGGTTGCCCGTATTGACAGTTTTAGTGGTGGCGGAGGTGGTGGTGGTGGTGGCGACGCGCTCACAAGAGGGACACATAGTGAGAGTGGTGGCAGGCAGCTGCATGTAGAAAGGCTGAGAAGTTTTCAGTGCTCTCAATTCCTGCAACTCTTTCTGCAGCCTCCTGTTCTCTTCCGTCAATGTCTCGCAGCATCTCTTCAAATACTCACAGTCTACCTCCGTCTGCTTCAACTTCGTCCTGCAAGGATCATTTATACACGTAAATTATTATGTGCCAGAATAACCCTGTTGCTACGATACACTGAGATTTATTCCTTAATCTTATGGATATCATACTATGTTTGTATCAATTTCACTCAACAAAGATTATTAACTTTTAGTACCTCGCTCTTCGGTTCTGGAACCAGACCTCCACTTGGCGAGGACGAAGATTCAGTTGCTTGGCCAGTGCGAGCTTTTGTTTCTGAAATTTATTCACACCCATCAGCAAATAAATCCTTTTTCTTTTCAGGATTTTTCATGCAATTTTTTTAGGACTTACAGGATTGAGAGTGTTGTGTTCTTTGAAGCTTTCTTCAAGAAAAGCAGACTGTTCTTTAGAGAGCCTGAGTTTCTTCCGAGTTAAACCGTTCTCGTCGTCATCACTCGCTCGGGAACTCGCTCGCTCAGTCTCAGCCTCCATATCTCTCTTTCCTCTACTACTTCCATTTCCTATTCCAAAATCCATCGGAAACGACGACACCGCGCTGTTCGGAGACGACAGCGCCGCCCCATCCTCTGCATCGTCCGCCCCCGCCAGCACCGGTAACCGGTTCACATCTAAGCCGCCGGAACCCGGTTCCGTCCCAACTGTAAAAATCACACGAATGTACGGTGAGGCCTCATCTAGCAAAAACAGAAAAAAGAAAAAAAAAAAAGAAAAAAAGAAGGAATAGGAGACGTGTTTGGTTGCCAGAAAGCTTAAGAAAATTTTCAGAACATCTGATCATGAAAAGAAAATAGCAAAGAGAAGTACGGCTTACTGTTATCGGTGAGCCAAGGAAATCGGAGTTGAGAAGTCTGGCGGCGAGGAACCGGAGAGAAAGGGAGAAGATCAAGCTGAACAGGTGGATCTGAGGAACCCCTTCTCTCACCTCCATCTCGTCCAGGCGTAGGCTCCTCCTCTTTTTCCGGCGATCTCGAACTCCGACCACCACCAACCGCCATGCAAAACCCAAGATCTTTCCCAGATAATTTCGGGGTTTTGTCTAGAAACGAAAACGGCTTCGATGAATCCCCCAAGCTCAAAGCAAGTTCCATTTTTTCTCCCCCAAACCCAAAACACAGGAAATGAAGAAAGAAAGCTTGAAAAACCCTATTCCGATCTTCAATGGAAACACAGAGAGGTGAGGTGTGGTTCCCTTTTTATTTCTTTTTGAAAGGAGTAAAGATCGATTGAAGGGGAAAAATCTTAGTTGACAAACGCACGTGAATCCATATAAATATACACACCAGTTCATACACGAGAGAGGGGAGGAATATTGAAAGAAAGATGAAAGAGAAAGGGATAGAAAATTTAGTCCAAGTAATCAAGTTTGAGATTTCCTGGTTAGATTAATTCAAAGCAAAATTGGGATTTGAATATTCTTGACTTTTTAGAGGAAAAATGGGAAAGGATTTTGGTTTTCTTTGTACTAGCTAGGTAAACGCCCATTTTAGAGGGTCACTGGTTTGATGAGGATAAGATAGAGCACATAGGTGTGCTTACTTTATTACTAACTTAAGTTATAAGATAATATATATATATATATATTGAGAAAATTTGTAAATTTTTTTTTAAATTATTTATGAGAATCGAAACTCTTATCTAATTATATTTAAACACTTAAAAGTTGAGAATGAATTAAGTTGAGAATGAATTATGAGTCTGAATAACTAATTGAAGTTATAAGATAATGTTTTATCTATTAATAAATTGAATTATTAATAATGAAATTATATTGTTTAAGTTTATTAATCAAATAAATAATTTTTACGTTTTGAGTTATTAGTTAAGATTATTAATTAATGGTGATTACTTCTCGTAAGTTACATCTTTGAATTTCATGAGATTTTCTTTTTCAATCTTCATATTCTTAAACATGTACTAATTACTCTTGTCCAACAAAAAAAAAAAAATTAGATTATGAGTTAGAAATTAATTATTAATTACATTTGAATTATTAATTCAAACGTTTTAAACTGAATTTTTTAAATAATTAATTAAAATATTTACAATATTTTTTACATGTGAAAGAAAAATTATGCATATAGTACCTTCATTTGACAAATATTTTTTGATGTATTATAGCAAATAATTCAAACATGTGGAAAAAAAAGGATGAGGAGGAAGCACAAATTTTAAACTTTTATTATAAAAATATGAAAACTTTTCATATTCGTGACAAAATTTCATCAACAGTAAACACTCCACGACAAAAATTGAATAGGAGAAGGTTGACACTTAAAAAATTGTAGTTGATGAAATATAATTTTGTTAATTAATGAGATAATAATATCACAATGTTAGTGAATTATTGTGTCTCACCAAATAAAAAGCAGGTGATCATCATCACCATCATATTTTAAAAGAATGATGAAACATTGAACGGATCTGATCGAGTTTCACTATCTCCCTCTGAAGAAACTTAAATTTGACTGAGGAAAATGGGAAACTGTTATAATGGAAATGATGGAATGATTAATGCCTTCTTACCAAACACAATTATTGGAGCATGCACTGTTTCCGTATTTTGTTTGTTTCCAATTAAACCAGCGGGTTTTCCAGTTTCAAGGCAATTTCACGTTTCCGTTTTTTTTGGCCTTATTTTCCTTTTCTTGTGAGAATGTTTTTTTCTTTCTTGTAAATAATAAAATTATAATATTATATAATATTTTAAAAAATAATATTTATCCATCTTATTTATTAAAAATTAAAAAAAAATTATTTTAAAATCACATTATTTTAATAAATATATATTTAAAAGATTAAAATATTTTATTTTTAAATTATGAATTAAGATATTTTTTATCTTATTTCTTTTTAATTTTTTAAGATAAAATGGACAAATATCAACTCTTATTTTAAATTTATAATTATAATATATTTTTATATAATTAATTTTTATTTAAAAATTTATTTGTCATTATTTAATAACATATTGTTATTATGAGTTTATAATATGTAATTATAATATTACTTTTTTATTTTTATTATAAATAAACGATTTTAATATTAATTTTATGTTTAAAGAGCCAGTTTATACTTTATTTTTTACTTGACCAATAACAATTATCAACTTGGTTTTAATAGAGAGTAAAATTAAAATTATTTTTCTTTAAAAAATAATTAATTTTACTTGTTAATGATAAATCTTATAACGTAATAACGTGTATATCGTATAAATTTAATTTGTTCTTTAGTGAAATGCATGAATAAGATTATATTTAATTATTTAAAGAATTTATTATCAATAATCTTTATTAACAAATCATTGTTATTTTCATGGGTTTAATGTCATAACATACTTTCTTAATCCGATATTAATGCATAGTATTATTAAATCTATCCTTAATTATTGTTGGTATAAATATGAAAAGAAGAAGACAATGCTATAATAATATAAGAGTAAGTCATTAAACATGAGGTTTTTTAGCTACATAAGTTAAAATGAAAAATAAACTTTTAGACAAAAAAAAATGTTGGCAAAATGCCTTGCTAAACCCTTGAGTTGATCCCTTATACTTAGTTGAGCTTCTAAACTTTTTAAAAATAAATAAGTTCTTAAATCTCATAATTTATGTTATTTTATCCTCTTCTCTATCTTTTTTATAACTTTGTAGTCCCTCGTTAAAAAAAGAGCAAAGTAAATTGTCAAATTTATGAATTTATCTACTTTCAAAAAAATTTAAAGATTGGATCAAAAGTACGAGATCAATTCATAAACTTAACGTCGAATTTTTCTAAAAATCTTTTACGTGGAGTGAGTATACTTGGTACAATAGTTGGTAAAGTGGGCCAGGGTCTACCAGTTATATGATACGTGTCGGTGATTTATTGGATGGATTGACTTAAAACACTGGTCTTTATGAGGTAAGCGTGAAGATTAAACATGAGAGTTTGACCAAGAAAAAATGAAAAACCTTTTTCTTTTGGATTGATTTTGATTGTGTTGATTGCTACTAAGCAGACAAAGCGACCAATCTTTTACTATTCCAAGGAAAGGTGATTGTATTGTTGGTAAATCACACTGCTTCTTTTGTGTCTTTTAAGCAGCTGCTCGTTTTCAACTCAATTCAGGGTTTAGTTTTATGTTAAATCCTTAATTTTATCCCTCAATTATTACATAGATTTTGGAATTAGTCTCTAAATTAAAATAATATTTAATTTAGTCCCTAAAATTTTTAAATTTGATGCCAATTTGATCTTTCTGTTAAAATACAATTGATATGTCTATTATTTAATAATAAAAAACTATTACTTAACTATTATATATTATGTTAATAATGAAACACATCAATTGTGTTTTAACAGAATAACCAACTTAAAATCAAATTTAGAAATTTTAACAAGTCAATTAGAGATTTTTTAATTCAGTGATCAATTCAAAAGTTCATACAATAGTGTAATTGTAACACTTTATAATTGTAACACTTCAATTCTACTTGTGAGCAAAAAATAAGTGTAATAATTAATTATTGTTGATAATTTAAACTTAACATTTTAAGAATCCATAGGCTTTGACGACTTATTAGGTAAGTGATGGATTTTAGTCCTAATCATTTCGAGAATTTTAATGATGAGTAATCAACAAGTGGAGGAAAATTCAAAGTTAAAATCAGGTTAGGCTAAATGGATGATTAATCCATGCAAGAAAAGTGTCGTTAGCGTTTCCCCTTATTCAATTGCTCTAGTTAACTTGAACTAAAGTGAGAAGAGGAAAGTCATACTCATCTTTTTTTTAGTACTAAATTATTCAATATTTAAAATTTACATTAAATATTAATTCATTCAAAATTAAAGCACAACATACTTATAAAAAGAATGTTCAACAAAAAAAAAAAAAACATACTTATAAAAAGAGAGAAACTTTCAAATCGCCGGTGAAACTCATTTCTTTGGAATAATAAAATATACATTTTATGAACCAGCCGGTATCGCTCGACCCATTAACTTTATTGGGTTCGACCTCTCGGTTCTGTGTTTAAATTTTTGTTAAAAAAATCACAAATCATGGATGAAGAAGAGTGGGAATTTCGTGAAATGGGCCCAAGGAGCGTGGGATGGGGAATATAAACCAGGTAAGGTAATAAGAATGGACACATGAAGAGGATGTGAGGGAGGGTGGTGAGATATGTCATGCTTTTGGGATCATTGCAATTATTGAACTCATGCAGGCTTTAATGATAAGTTGGAGAAACTGGAATTATTGGGTGGGGCCCACCAGAACCATGGTGGGGGGACCCCAAAAACTGGTCCCACCCAAAGACTCCCATAGTCCACACCCAACCACTCTCTTTGATTCTGTTCACATTCCTTAATTAAATAGTATATGTTAAGAAATGATGAGTAATGAGCTAATCTCTATATATATAGGTCAAATGATAAAGGAGGTGATGAGCTGATTAACACAACCTGAGTTGCAAAATAGACCAGTTGAGGAAGTTAATTAGAGTTGTTTATAAGTTACTACATTTCGGTGCTCAAGTCAGTTCATCAATCTATTAGTCGTAATTGATAATTATTGACGCTTAGTATTTGGGTTGTGTGAGGGAAAAGGGATTTTGTGCTTACCGTTATGCTAAGATGATAATTACATAATAATGGCGTGCATGCTTTGAGGAAATTAATTAACCATTGGGCGGTGTTTCATGCATACTCAATCAACCAACTCATTGATACTCCCTCAGTTTTTATCTATGTTATCATATAACTAATTTTTTATGTGATTTTAAGGGAGGATATATACTTTGAGAATCTTATTTCACAATTTAAATTGTATTAAACTATAAAATAAAAATTATTGAATGAAAAAAAATCAATATCAAAAAACTTAACCCCATATTCAATGGTTAATGTATTGCAGTTTAGACTCCACTACACTTACTTTTTCAATATAATTTTACATAACATATTAATGACAATTATATATATTTACCCTCTAGTTTTAACACATCGCATAACACAATTATTAAGAATTTTTTTTTCTAAATTTAAATCAAATGTGAGAAAATTAAAAATTATAAAATTTAATAATTAAACCGATAAATATTATGAGATATATTAAGCTGAATAGTGTACCGATCATCTTTCTTTTTTAAATTCATAGTACCTGTTTGACAATAGTTTCCACGAACACATGACAAAATCTCATATCATAGAAGCTTGGAAAAATTGTGCACCCATGCAATTTGTTCTTGCTTGTCTTGGTATATTTCATACGTACAAAGGCATTAAAATAATATATGGTCCTGCAGTGGTCCTCAAACATGCAGTATCTCATGCTATATGCTTTATTATTTTCTTCTTTTAAAATTTATTATGGCGTTATAGCACCATCATTATTTTCTTGATTATCATAGAACATTATCATTATGATCGAATGTTATTTGCAAAGAAAAGTCTCGACACATATAGCTTGATGACCAATTTTA